CTTCCTTCCTTCCTTCCTTCCTTCCTTCCTTCCTTCCTTCCTTCCTTCCTTCCTTCCTTCCTTCCTTCCTTCCTTTCTTTCTCATTCTAAGTACCCAGTACAACACCCAGCACATAGCAGGCATTTAAAAAATAGTCAATAGTTAATTAGGCATCATGCTTCCTTGGGGCTTTTGTTTTATTCAAGTCTCACAAATTCACTTTTTTTTCCCTCTGGGATTTTCACAGTAAGCTCTGATTGCTTCATTTCTTTTGTTTAAAAGAAAGGCCTATCACATAGAAAATTATTTATAAAACTGTGTTACAGAAGAAACAACTGGAATGGAAAACACTACAAAATTCTCTTTGTTTTATACGTGTCAGAACTTTTGTTTAAAAAAAAAAAACACATCATAGCGGGGCAGAATTGGGCCTAAGTGTGGCCATCAACAAAATTTTGCAGAGTGGAGAGATTTTAAATGTGCTAATATAAAAACGTCTGAAAAAGAAAACCTGTAGGGTAGATAGATAGATACCAAAATGCGTGAGCATGAGAGTGGAAAGATAATAAAGCACAGTTCCTTACTGAGTTGTCCAAGCCGGGCCTTCTCTTTTTTACCAAACAAACGTCCTATTGAAGATTTGATTCCTTTCTTTTTGGGGGCTTTGTGGAGAGAATCTTGGCTGCTATTTGCGCTGCTAAGACCAATGCTGTCTGGTTCCAAGGACACTGGTAAACTACTGAAAAACATTAAACATTGAGAATATCATTGTGATGGTGTATCTATATGATACATGATTTTTTTTTAAACTGTAAATTGTGCAGAAGGGAAGCAAAGACTCCTTTTTTCTCTCCTCCTAAATTCTCTCCCTCATTCTCTGCTCCCACCTCATTTGGTCCATACTTGTGACTTCACTCTTAGTGGAAAGTGCATGGATTTGGAGTCTGAAAGACCTGGGTCTGAATCCTGGCTCCTCCATTTACTAACTGCAAAACCTTGGGTAGTTAAGCAACTTTACAGCATCAAGTGACTTAATTAAGTGACCTGCAGCTAGAATCTATTTTGGAGAGTCCAGGGATTCTTAACCATTGATTCTAAAGGAGTCCAGGGATAGATTTCAGGAAGTCTGTCCAAATCTTGTGATTTTACTATATGAGGTAATAACAGCTCTAAATTCTGATGTTCCTCATCCATAAAGAAAAAAAAAAATCTATGGACCAGCTCTAAGATCCCTTTGTGCTCTAACATTCATGTGTCCATGACTATGACTTAAAAATCAGTGACAGAGTTGAAACTGCTATTTCAACTCTGTTTTCTACAAAAACATTAAGTATATTTTTCTATGACTATACTCTCTCTCTCAGGTTAAGTCACAATCAGGGCATGAAATAGTTTAGCTGTACTTTATTAATAGTGACTGTTTTGAGTGACATCATAGAGGTAGTTGGGAGGAGTGGTAGAGAGAACAAGCCTTTATTAAGCACTTTTTGTATGCTGGGTGGTGTGTTAAGCACATCATAAATATCTTAGTGTATCCTTGCACCTGTGAGATAGAGTATGTCCCTCCCCATTTTACAGAGGAGGGAACTGAACCAGAAAGAGAGAGAGTGACTTGCCCAGAGTCACAGCTAGTAAGTGCAGCGGGATCTAAACTCAGGTTTTCCTGACTCCAGGCCTAGTGCTCTATCCATCGAACCACTTAGTAGCCTTGGACTCAGAAAAAACCAGGTTCAAGTTCTGCCTTTGATACAATACTGATTTTATGATCACCTCTCAGTGCTCCAGGCAACTGTCTGCCATTATGAGTTGCAGAAGAGGTGATGCTCTGAACTGATGAAGGGAGCTCCCCAAGAAGAGTTTCCCACTCTAATGAAATGCTAATTCAGATTAAAAAAAAGAAAACTGACACCTGATTCCTAATGTCTAGGTCTTCCAAATGTTTGTTCCAGCTTCATTTGTTTGTCAACACTATTATATAGCTCATTTTGAGAAGTCTAACTTTCTATCATTACAAAGAAATCCATTCCTTCAAGAAGCATCTACCATCAGACGCTATTTATGTTGACATGCCTAAACTACGTACAGCAGAGATTTCAAAAGAAGAACAGGTTTGTGGGCAAAAAGACTCTTACCTCCGGGCTTCATTGTGATAGGTTGAAGGAAGGGTATGTGTCATTCTGATCGCTCTTGGTGTTGGGGGAGGAGATGTCTCACATTTTATTGTTGCTTTATCTTCACGACCATCTTCTTCAACCACTGCAATCTAAGGTGAAGATTGAGAGATGAAAATAAGATCTTCCTACAGTAATGAAGACATTTAACTGAGTCTATACAGTTTCAATTTCATTTTGTTCCACTCCATTCCATCCCAGTCTACCCAATTCCACTCAATAAATATCTAAGGCATAGTAATAAGCAAGGCATGTCTCAAGCACCATAGCAGATACAAAGGTGGGAAAGGAAACCTTTCCCGCCTGTAAAGGGCTCAAACTAGTGGGGAAGACGTGAAATTCATTTAAGAAACAAGTATGAGGTCTTGAGCATCGGTCAAACAACAAACACTTATTAAGTGGCTACTACGTGCCAGGCACTTTGCTAAGTCCTAGGGATATAAGCATCAGAAGCAGATGCAGAACCAAACAAGGCATTGTCTTTATTCTCCAAAAACTTCTCTAGAAATTAGTACGACAAAAATGCTATGAGTTTTAAAAAGTATCCAATAGTGCCATCCAAATTATATTGGTTATTATGATAGATGCACAGACACACACATATGAGTGCGTGCATACGTATATATATATACACAATATATATTTTTGTGTATAAATATGTATGACAACTTTATTGACATCATCATTTTTATAAATAAGCCAAACTTCAAATCTGTTAGTCAACTAGCATGTATTAAACACGTCCTATGTCATTCCTTAAAAAGTTCATACAAGTAGTTAAGAAACTGATATATTTGGTCCCACTCACTGTTGAACAAGGAATCTGCTGCCTCTGACAGATGGTCACTTACACATTAGAGAACAATTTGGGCAATGAGTCCTATCCCTCTGCAGCCAATTTCAATGGAGTTGGTAGGATAGGAAGGGAGGAGAGGCTCTCCTGATAAGTGATGCATACTTCTCAAGGAAAGTGAGTGTAGAAAACCGGGAGAACCTTGTAAAATTGAAATACTCTCACTGTGATGCCAGTGTCACATCTTTTAATCTGATCTCTGGACCTCATCCAATTCACTTCTAACATTCTTCTCAGTCCTGGTTCCACCTACTCTTTCTCTTCTGGATGTGATTTTGTATCCCTGGCACATCAGCTCTCACAGTTCTGTGTCACTGCTCCTAAAGTTTTGGCCCACTCTACAATGGAAACTCCTTTACTCCTTAGACCAAAAGACTTTAATTGGCACTGTGAAAAGACTCCAGTGGAACTGAGGATAAGAGAAACAATACAATGGGTACCTATAACCAGACTGTCATAGTAGATTACTTCCATTATCTTTAGTAGGGTAGGAAATAAAGTTTGAAGAAGGTAAGAACTGGGGAAAAAAGGGAGGGGAAAGAACTTCAAAGAGCTAAATACTTTAAAATCAGCCAATCCAACGCAGTTAATTACAACGTGAGTTTAATGAGAATCACTAAACAATTAAAAAAAATACTGTTTTTAGTACAAAGAAAAAGATTTGGCAGAACAATCTTAGAAATGATAGATAGATCACTTTAGTTATGAGGAGATTCACTGAAATAAACTCTACAGGGAGATAGGCACAAAGATTTGCTAGAGAGAAGTCAATTAAATATGAGTTGTTTGGAAAGACTATATTACTGGGTATAAGGGAACAGAGGTCTCTATTCAAGGAGAATTTACCAATAGTCTTGCATCAATCATGGAGAAATAAATTTCTACATTGTTATTGCAAATTATTTCTTACACTATGTAGATAGACATTGTTAAAGACAAAGAAATGATCATTTCTTCTTGATGCAGCAGAAACAAATATTTTAATATTTAAACATATTAGTTAAATATGTTGTAAGATAAATATGACTTCAACATTAAAAAAATTAATGTAACTATTTTGATGTCAAGGTGTATTGGCAGCCCTGAATAAGTCATTTTTAATACCTGTATTTTTATATTCTGTGAGTTATATCTTTATCTTTGATAAAGAATGAATATAAAGATTGCAGCCTGAATATTATTGTTGAATTTTCTTAAATTATTAATAAGACTTTTAGGAAGTTCTTAGATTCTTGGCAGCATATATTAATTTAATTGTGTGCATGTAGAAGGCATACTTCTGGAGTTATCTTCTTTTTTGTCTTGACATAAGGACTGGAAGTAAAGGTTGGAAATACAATAGATGTATATTGATTGAATAACTCAATTGGCTGCTGCTTAAGCTGTTGGCATGTTATAGCAATGTGTGTTTTGGATCCACTTTGTATTTCCAGTGTGAATGGTTTGATCGATCTCTCACATTACTGTGAATTTCATTACAAATGCAAAACTGACATCTAAGTTAACTGTTATCAGTATGAAACCATCATTCCTTTTTAAGATTAATTCTTAAGCCTACTTTGGATTTTATACATATATTTGTCTAGATTGTTTGCTTAGTTTTGTTACTTAGAGTTAGACTCCATTTTAGTTTCTTCTCAGGATATTCAGTGATTGATTAGCCTTTCTTATCATTTTCAGAAATTATAAAGCTAGATTTTCCTGATATGGATAGTATTTGCAAATTTACATCAAAAGAAATCTATATAAGGAACTGAAGTCTTGAGAGGTCAAATGCTCATATTTAAACAATTTAGGGAAGTGTACCATAATTTAATATATCTTCCCTTTGATGACAATGTGGTTTTAACTAGTACAATGAAAAAAATGTATAATGTGCTTAAGTACTCATACAGTAATGTTTATATAAAATACGTACAATACCTTTCTCCGATGTTTCCTTAGATCACTTGGCTATCATTGGTAGCAAGTAAAATGACAAAAAAAGGAAAAAAAAAACTAATCAATGAACAACATCATATGAAAATGTGAAATGAGATATAAAACAATAATTTTATCCTTAATTATTTTTCAAATTCACAAACAGATTCCTGGATAATTCTCCAAGGATAATTTAAGTCAAGTTATTTAAATTTTTAATTATTTAAAATTATAATATAAACAAACAAATTTTCTTTTTCTTTTCTTTCTATACTTTTCCCTTTTCCCTCCAACTGAGTTTACCTGTCTCACCCAGGCTAGAAGTGTTGTGGCCACTCACAGGTAGATCCTACTTTGGATAAGCACAGATGATGGTTCATTTCTAACCTGGGTCAGTTTGCCCCACCTTAGGCAGCCTGGTGGCTTCCCATTCCCGTGGATTTACCATACTGGTACCAGACTTGGTATGAACACCCAACTCACTACTATACCTCTGAATTGTCAAGCTTAAGTAATCTACCAGCCTCAACCTCTCTCAATATCAGGAATTTATAGGTTAGGTGTTCCTACACTCAGCTTCTAATAGATTTCAGGTTAAGATTCTCAAATATAACTGTTATTTTCAATAATTAATAAAGTTGTTTTCAAATGTACCCATCATTGGGTAATTAATCTCAGAAAATTTCTAAGTTGTTTTTAGTCGCAAAGAAATGTGGAGAGCTGGCATTCAGTCACATTAATCTTCATAGAAGAACGAGCAATATTTGTTGTTCCACTTTCATTTGAAGTTTAAAAAATCACTAGTCACTCTCTCCACATCACTTTTTGTCTCAGACATGGCTATGGACTTTAAGTTGCTATGTTTCTTAGCAATCATAATACCGTCAGCTTCAGGACAATTGAACTTATAGTACTTTCTTAGCACCCATAAATTTCACATATCTGAAATCAATTTCAAGTTCAGGGTTTTGAGTCAGTAAATTAGGGAACATTCAGAAAAAAGTATCAAACGAAATAAACATAAGTAGCATGTGCAAACCTTATCGAGCTGTATAAGTGCTTACTATTTCTATCAGGGAAAAAGAAAAATGTATAAAACTCAAATTTTGACTGCAAGCTAAATGTAATGTTGACACAATAAATGTCTTGAATGTTTAATTTATCACATTTTTGCCTTCCCAGAATTCCTAGAAAGTCCATATAAAATCATTCATTCAATATTTATTCATTCATTCATTCATCCATTCATTTAACAAACATTATAATGGAAAATTATACTTAGATCAGTGGTTCTTAAATATGGGATCTGTAAAAATATAAAAATATATTTCAATAACAGTATTTCAACAAAATTGATTGCCTTCATATCATATATTTTATATACTTAAAAACTTTTTTTCCCCTCCTGAGGAGTCCACAGGCTTCACCAAAGGGATCCAGGTCACAAAAAGAGACTAAGAACCCATGCCTTCGCTGGATGTTTCCATTTTCTCAGTATCAGTACAACTAATTTCTAAATTTCAATTTTAGTGAATCCAAAAAAAAAAAAAAACCCCAACCTTTGTTAACAACATTTATTGAACAATAAAGTTTGACTGAATTCTAGTTACTGTATTTTTTAATCTGGTTCCTTAGTTCTAATTACTTTTGTTGTTGCTGCTGCTGCTGCTGTTGCTATTTTGGTCTAGCTCCATGATTTCATCATTGTGGGGAGAGTAATCTGAGACGCTGACAAGTTATGGTAAGCATCAGAGGCAGATATCCAGACTTTAATGCTGTCCCTTTATTCCAAGAGCTCAGAGTGTGTGTGTGTGTGTGTGTGTGTGTGTGTGTGTGTGTGTGTGTGCGTGTATGATGGACCCCTTTGGCAAACTTATGAAATCTATGAATCCCTTCTCAGAAGAATGTTGATTACAAAGGAAATCAACTGATTTTGAAGTTAATTTATACAAATAAATGTATTTTTTAAAAATCATGGACCCCAGGTTAAGAACTCCTATATGTGTGTGTGTACTTTTTTGATAATAAAGAACTGGAAACAAAATAGATGTTGGTCAGTTGGAGAGTGGCTAAACAAATTGTAATACAGGAATGCTATTGAATTTAGTACTTTGCTGTAAGAGACAACTATGCTGAATGCATAGAAGCGTGGAAAAAAATCACCTGAGGAGAACTGAAGAAAGAGAGCCAATAAAACAATATACACAATGACTACAGCAGTATAAATGGAAAGAATGACAATCATAAAACAAATGAAAATGAATTACAAAGAATAAGGATGACCCCAAGTACAAGATATGAGATGACAACTACTACAACTCCCATGTGGAATTCAGAGGACCATGGGTGTGGTTAGATTTTTCAGATTTTTTTAATAGATTGATTGGTTTTGTTTATTGCTTTTTTTTATTCTATTTTTTTCTTTTTTTACTCTGTTTTTCTTTTTTTTTCTTTTAAAATTCCTTTGTTGTCCAGTATGACTCTCTGAGGGGGATAGATATAGGGGAAATTAAGGTGATACAATAATAATAAATCAATAACAATTTATTTAAAAAAGAAGCTCTTCATTTAACCTCAATTGCCTCACTAGATAGATAGATAGATAGATAGATAGATAGATAAATAAATAAATACATAAATAAGAAGCCCTGTATCTACTCTGTCAAGCTGTCTACCCCAGGGACATTTCAATCTTATAGCTATTGCCTTCAAGCTCATGAAATTTCTTTCAGCATTGTGTTACCAATATTCAATCAAATCACATTTACCAAGCATGTACTGCTTAAGAAAACTTAATAAAGTCTCTGGGTCTTTCTGTGAAATGTCAATATTTCCCCAATCATGAAATCAATCTGAAGCTATATCTAGGAACAGAACCTAGACAAGTAGCAGTTTATTAATTAGGGGCAGCTAGATGAAAACATTATTGAGCATTCACCTATCACTATACTAAAAATCACACAGATGTTGTCTAAATGTTAATTTAAAAAAAGATTTTAATTTAAATGCAAAGATTTGGAGGAGAGAGTGAGGCTGATGACTTTGCACAGCTCTGCCTCACTTAAATTCAATTCACTTGCAAGTCAAGACATCACCTTTCTGATGTCATTGGTCCTCTTTGAGAAGAAAGGATAAACAGGATCAAGAACAACAGACATGCCTAAAATTGATTAGTCTCCAAAAAAAAAAAGGAAAAAAAAAACAAAGTTGCTTCCCTTCCTCCTCCCACTCCCAAGTGATCTATATCATGCACGTGATGGTTATAGCCTCTGGAATGAGAGGAGGGTTGAAAGCCACTGACTTGAAGAAAGTAAGGAAGACAGCATGGGTTGGCTGTGAAAGAGAGTGACAAATAGTAAAATAGAAGGGAGACTAAAATAGACCAATAGTAAATTAGGGCAAAAATACAGAAGAGAGGCAGTGAAATGTGAGATGAGAGACAAAAACAATGTAAGATTAGGAGTACCCTCAATTACTCAACATTCATATTTCCTTTCATATTTCCCAGAATATCCTGCCTTTTGTATTGGTGCAAAGGAGTCTATGGGTACATAGGGTAGCCTTTTGTCCAGGAGGATGCCTGTTTGGTTAGGAGCTACCAATTTTTCTCTTTATTCTTCCTCCCTTGGCAAGAAATCCAAGATGAGAAATATCTTTTGATTTTTTTTTTCTGTCCTCTAACACTTTCTTTTAAGGTAGATCTTACTGTTACCAATCTAGTTTGGCTTTGCCAGGTGGACTTTAGAAAAGTCATGTCAGTACAAGAGGCTCAAGGTGTCCTTGATTCCTTCTCAGCTTTATTTGCCTTTCCTAAGATCCTTAATTTCTTCTGACACTCCTTCTGTTACAGTCTGAAATGATAAAGACCATTTCACTAATTTGCATTTCAATTAATATTGAATCCCAAAATGACTCCCTTTTGAGCACTGTCGAACTGAAGTGCTGACAGTTTTCATGGGGGTATTTTAACAGCCAAAAATAAATAACTAAATGGAATGTAAAGATGTCACTCCTTTTAAAACTGTATTCAGTGTTTCTCAGATTCATTATAATGTGATATAGTTTTATCAAGTTATCCTCAAATCTTGGACAAATTTATCTGGCAATGGAAACGCAGTTGGATGAAAGTGTCCTCCACTTCATTTTTTTTTTGCTTGTCTCTGTTGGTAATGTTCTGTACTTCATCTTAATTTTATTTTGTGTGTGTGGGTGTTTTCTAATTTGAGAACCTAGGGTTTGAGCTAAATTAATAGGAAACTGACTTCTGTACTTTAAGCGTTTCATTGGTGTAGGTTTTCCCCCTTTAACTGATGATGATTACAGCTGTTTCATGTATTTTTTGCTGAAAAATATCAATAACCTGGTGGCCAACCTCCTGATGATGAATTACTGAATCATACAGAAACACAAAATGAATTTCATAACTGGCAGATACTCTTGCAGCCATAGTATAACCTATGCTTGAAATCTCAGGATTCAAAATTTCCCCTAAGTAGGCATACAATTGTTACTTGAAGACCTTAAGTTAGGAGCAACCCATTATGTTCCAAGGCAGTTCATTCCATTTTTGGACATCTCTGATTGGTAAGCATCCTCACATCATGACTAAATTTGTCTAGTTGCAATGTCCATACCTTGCTTTTTCGTTTTAGAGCCCATCATGAGTTTTTTTAAGCACAAAAACTCATAAAGGCATGGAAGAGTTATAATCACCATTGACAGAAGCACAATGATGAAATGATGGAATTTTTAAAGTAAATACTAAAAAAAAAAAATGAAATCACCCCTATGTTATTTCCAGGAAGATGGACTTAACGCCAGTGGAGAGTATTTGAATTATTACTAGGAAGGAAATTCACTGGGCATAATTAGCTTTGTTTCAGTATCATCAGCTACAAAATATTCTTGAGATTTATAAGCTATTGGATTTTTCTTGTGGTATTTATTTCTCAAGTAAACTTGAGGTTAACATGATCCAAACTCATTCTCTTACCAGAGTCATGATTCCCATTCGATCCATCTCCCTGGCTGGGCTTCGGGGAGTAAGCTTAGGCGTGGAGTGGCCACTAGGAGGAGATGAACTTGCCAGCGATGAAGCTGTTACTGAGGCGGTGATTGAAGTACCAGGATGGACTCTAGCTAGATTCAAACCTTCTAGGCTCACGCTGGCCACTCGGTTCTCGATTTCTTCAGCACGCAGTTCTGTGGACTCTTTCTCTTCCTGAATTAACCTGAAAGATACATTTGAATTTAGGTTAGTGTTGTCTGCAGCATGAAAGACTATATAATAAATTGCAATGAATATTAATTAAATGCCTATTAAGTGCCAGGCATTGACCTCACTATGTACTGAGGATAGAAGGATAAAGAAAAAAAAACATTCTCTGTCCTCAAGAAGCTTATATTCTTCTGAAGGGGAGAGGAGCAACAGGTACAAAGGTTAATAAAAGCAAAATAAATAATTTGGAGAGGGCAGCACTAACGACTTTAGGGAGATAATTACAAGGTCTCCAACCATTTAAATAAAACAGCTAGTTTTTGCAAAATATTTTTTTTTTGTTTTTGACCAACATGTGGGGAATTTTGAGAAGATTTCTATATGCTATAAAGACCGCTAGGTGGCTCAGTAAACAGAGCACTGGACCAGAAGGAAGACTTCAGATTAAATTTTGCTTTAGTCACTAAATAACTGGGAACCCTGAGAAAGTCCCAAACTCTATCTGCCTTTGTTTCCTCATCTGTAAAATGGAGATAATAATAGTAACTATTTTCCAGGGTTGCGTGAGGATAAAATGAGAAAGAATTTTTATAACAATTTGTAAACCTTAAAGTACTATATAAAAGCTAGGAGTAGTAGTAGTAGTAGTAGTAGTAGTAGTAGTAACAGCAGCAGCATTTTCTTTTCAATAAATTTGAGTAGCTTCAAGGCTAAAGTATAGCCAATTTTTACTTTCAGAGGATTTATATTTCCTTCTTCTAGGATTCTTTTTCCTTAGCTCCTTTAAAGACTTGTTTCCCAATCTGATTCCTGCTTTTAAGCTAAAATTAAACCTGATGATCTCTTCTCCTGATTAAGTCCTTTCCAAATTAGGCCTAATTTTTTGAACTTACTGTTTGCTTCAACAATACAAATTAACAATTGTCAATATAAGACTTTCCATGATTTTAAGCAAGTCACAGAGCCATAAAAGCATTTCATCAAAAAAAGAATAAATGTTATTCAGCTACATCATCATAAAAAGGTCAAACAACATTTGTGGCTATCACGGCAAGGATAGGGACATATTCAAGGTAAAAAAAGACTAGAGAGAACAAAGTGAAAGAAAGAAAGGTTAGAAGAAAGGAAGATGGCAGAAGAGAGAGAAAGATAAAGCAGTCCGCATGTAGTAGTGCTAGATTGCCATGACAATTATCTCTGTCACCACTCAGGACCATCTACCCATGCCTTTATTCTCTATCTCTATCTCTCTTGTCTGTGTCTCTGTCTCTGTCTTAATCTCTCCGTCTCTCTCAAAAAACAAACAAAAACAAAACTATTTGACTTTCAAAGTATGATCATTCCTACTTGAATATATGTAATCTTATATATACACATGTAATATAAATACAAATATGATATAAATGCAAAAATACTAAACTATACAAAAGTATATTTATGTCAGTGTACATACACATATGTATGCATGCATGTATGCATGTTGCTAATGATTTGTCCAATGCGATAGAGCCAGTATGTATCAGATATTAAACTTGGATCTTTCTGACTCTTAAGTCCAGCTCTCTACTTACGTCATAATTTACATTACGTATTTTATACACACATATGTATTCATGGATAAAGTGTGAGGGAGCAAAGGCAGGAGGAGGAAGGGAGAAAGGTCCACATTCCTCCACATTTCTAAGACCTGAATTCAATGAAACCATGGAACCAAGATGATGAGATGCCCTTTGAACAATAATGCTCTTTCATGAATTTTAATTTAACCTCCCTTCTTTCCCTAAAAGAAATCACAACAATATTATCAATCATTATTAACATGTTTTTATTTTTTTTTTGGTATAAAACTCCTGCCTGACATAAGGAAAGTTCATACATCATTAGACATGTCTTCAAGTTAGTTATACTGGCATAACACAGGTCATTTCTATAAAGTGATTTTGATGTGATTGTGATGCACTTAAAGAAACATCTATAATAATTCCATAGCATTCATCAGTGTGTTGTAGAGGAAAGACTTCAGAGTTTGAGGACCTGGATTCCAATTCTGTCTCTGATGCATCTGATACCTTTACTCATGAGACAATGGATAAGCCACTCAGCCTCCTTGGGCCTGAGAGTCCTCATCTACAAATTGAAGGGTTGACCTTCATGACCTCTGTGATCCCTTTGAGTCCTACTTGTCCTTGGTCCTTTAAGTCACATTTCCCAAACTACTAAAATATGATACCATGTCCAAGCCTGTGGTCCTGGAGGATCCTGACTGCGAGAAAGTGAATAAGATTCATTTTGTTTTGCTTGTACCAAGATGGCAGATAGTTTTAGCTATGTAGTAACAATTTAACATCTGGAAAGACTAACAATTCAGCTATTCAGAAGTGGAATGTACTGCCTTCTATGTCAACGAGAACCCAACTACATAAGATGATGATGATAAAAATAATTATTTCTCTTTTATATTAATAACCAATTATTGAATTAGGACTAAGGTTCCCCCCCCCCCCTTTCTATGTCCTCATTCAGAAATCAGCTCCTGTAGGTTATTCAGGCAGCCTTTGAAGTGTAAGGCTGATAGTGAGATGGAAAACTTGGATCTGCCCTAAAGGTAAAGAAATTCTGCTTTAGGTGAATTGGTGGATGCTGGCCCATTGTGTTTTAGTCAGACAGGTCTGGGTAGAAACGGATTCCCCCTTTTGGCTAAATTACTCTACAGGGGATGGTACCAGTATAGGTAAGTCTCTTTGACCAAGACTGAGTGTTCAGAATCACATCCCCCAGACTCTTATTAGTATAAGCCCACCTCTAATTATGACACTTATTCTCTCAATATTTGTTAACCAATCAGAGTTGATTTCCACTGTCAGGAACACCCACTCTTCTGAGGATATATAAACACTGAGTGGGTTCCATGAAGGGTCTTTGGTTTAAGAGAGACAGCCAAATGACCATCCTTTTATTAATGACTTGCTAGCACTGTATCACCTTCCTGATATCATGGTCCTTTTTAAGAATGAGGGACAAAGGACAAAAAACAATAGCTTGCTAGCATAAATAATAAAGTGATTAATTACTATTTATTTATTTATTTATTTATTTATTTATTTATTTTAGGCAATTGGGCTTAAGTAACTTGCCAAGGTCACATACCTAGTAAATGTCAAGTGTTTGGTCTGAGGCCAGATTTGAACTTAGGTCCTCCTGACTTCAGGGTTGGTGCTCTATCCACTTCGCCACCTAGCTGCCCCTAAAATGATTAATTACCCAGAAACTATGTCTCTCGAACTTTTTATGTGTCAGAGAAACTGATCCCAAGGGAATTGATTAGGTCACCAAGTGAGACAAAAGCAGAAAAGAGCCCAGGAAAGGGCCTTAGGGTATACCCAAAGTTAGGGGATATAAAACAGATGAAGATTTTGTGAAAGATACAGATAAAAAGTCTGATGGCATGGAAGAAAAACAATAGGGAGCAGTGTCATGAAAACTCAGGGTATCCAGGAGGATAGCAGTCATCAACAGTATCAAATGTGGCCAAGAGTTTATGAAGAATGAGGATTGAGAAAAGGACATGAGGTTTACAATTAAGAGATAATTGCTAACTTTGGACAAAGCAGATGTAGATCATTGTTGATGTAGGAAATCAGATTGCAGAGGAGTTAAAAGAGAATGAAATGAGTAGAGGAAGCAACAGGTACTGACAGCTTTCTCATGGAGTATAGCTGAGAAAAGGAGGAAAGCTACAGGATGACAGCTAGTCGGGATGGGAGCTTCCATTGAGTTTAGATTTCTTTCTTTTTCTTTTAAGTATAGGGAGACTTGAACTAGTTTACAGGCAGCAGAAAAGGAACCAGTAGATAGGGAGAGAGTGGAGATAAGGGAATAAGAGGGAAGGAAGGTTAAAAAACCAGTCTTTTCAAGAATGAAAGAGGAAATGTGATTAAGGATAACAATAGAAGGTTTAGCCTTGGTGAACAGTAGAGTGACATCTCCTTTAGAGACTAGAACAGGGGTTCTTAACCTTCTTTGTATCAAGAACTCATTCACAATCTAGTGACAAACATGGATCCATTGTTTTCAAATGTGTAAAATAAAGTACATGGTATGACAAAGGAAACTAATTATGTTTAAAATACAATTTACAAAATTAAAAAAATAAAACAAATTCATGGATCCCTCCCCCATGCCAGGTTAAGAATCTCTGAAAGGAAGAAGTGACAACAAAGGTAAGTGGTTGAGAGATGAAGAGAATGGGGAAGGGGGAGAAAGATCAGCATATAGTCTCATTTATCAGTAAACGGGTATAAGTGAGATCTTTAGCTGAGAGGGTTGGGGAGAGGGGTGATAGGAGGGACTTGAGGTCCCATGAGAAGAAATGGAGGACTGTGAAGGCAATCCATTTCACTTCTGAACAACTCTAGTCATTTGGAAATTTCCCTATATATTCAAAATCTGCTTTTCAGCAACTTCTACCCATTTCTTCTAGTTCTTCCTTCTGTGGCTAAGCAGAACAACCCTAATAGCTTTGTGGCATAAGAGCAATTTAAATGCCTGAAGATTGCTACATGCTCTATCTGTCCCCTCACCTCAAAAATGTTTTCTCTTCTCCAGGGGAAAAAAATATCACAAATCCTTTCACCACATCCTTATTGGACATGATTTCAGGGTATTTCCTCTAGGTTGAGCTCCTCTGGATACTAGATTATCAATATTCTTCCCAAAATGTGGCATTGAGAACTAAACAGAGCACTCTGGACTGGTTTAGCCACAGAGACAAGAGCAGGAGGATCACTTCCCTTGCTTTGGTCACTCTTGATAAACACGAGCTTTTCTATTGCCAAGACATATTGCTGACTCATAAGTAAATGCGACTAAAACATTTTTAGATGAACTGCAATGGAGCCAGACACTCCTGAACTTATACTTGTGAAGTTTATTTTTCTGAAATCTTGTACAATAATGTGGTGTGGGGGAGTTTATCTTTTTTGCTGATTTTACCCTGGGGTTATACCTTACCAT